CTCAATTCAGGTCTGGAACCCATGGCTGCAGCGAGATCGGAAGGCACTTAAACATCCACAGAGAATGGCTACCAAGATGGTCAAAGGTCTACATTCCAGAACCTATGACGAAAGATTACAGCTACTGGGGCCATACTCGTCTCAATATCGTCAAATCATAGGCGATATGATTTTACTGTATCGGATTTTCCAACAGCCCAACCATCCATGTAGATCCCTTTTAGTTTTATCAACCAATGTTCACCTCAGAGGGCATCCGCTGAAGTTGGCACACCAAAAGAACCGCCTCGACTGCAGATGCCATTCATTTTCAGTCAGAGTGTGCAGCACATGGAACTCTCTACCACCTCACGTGGTCTGTGCGCCTAAATTATTATCTTTCACGCGTCAGGTTGATGATGCTCTGGCAAACATTATGTTTCAACACCCGACCACATAATATATTCTCCTGTGCTCGTCAAAAACATGCCATTACATGTTTACGTACATGGACCAACTGTGATCTTGTGAACCGTGTTCCGAACCAAAGTGTAAACACCCTATGGGATTTGATAAGCGAAGTCTTGTAATTTTTTCCCCATAATAAAAATTTGAATTTGAGTCCTGTAATTTGGAGAACTTGAATATACATGCCAGTGCGCGCGAATTCGAAGACTATCTTGAACGATTCGAGATTTGGTGTATTACGCGGAAAGGACTCGATGGAGAACGCAAAACGGCTCAATTCCTAAAGGTCATCGGAAAGGATGCATACTCATTGTTGAAGAATTTGGCATTTCCTGACTCTCCTATATCGTTGTCTTATGAATCCCTGAAAACCTTACTGCTGAAGCATCTACAGCCGGCTAATTTCGAAGCCGCTGAACGAGCCAAATTTCATTCACTCACACGTGGTGGAAGCCAACCTGTACGTGACTTTATTCTTCAACTTCAGACGCAAGCATCTCGTTTCAACTTCGGAGGTCAATGGCAAACCCAGCTACGTGATAGATTATTTGCCGTTATTAATTGCCCGGAATTACAGCAAAATCTTCTGCTCATGCAAGATTGCACATTTCAGTCGGCTACGGCAGTCTGTGAACAGTACCAAGACGTCCGTGCCATTATTAGTGATGAACCCAACTTGTTGTTCAATGCCAGCAATTCCAAACAGTCACCATCCCGACGAAAGCGGTTTTTCGAAAAGGGCTCAAAAACACCAGGCACATCAATTCTCCGGCCCACAATGACCAAAGGATTCAACTATGGGACAAGTGCCATTCCTGTGGTCAAAGACATTCGCGGCTATCCGGTAGATTTCGAAATGCCAAGTGTCACAATTGCGGTAAGCTTGGCCATATCTAATCTGTCTGTAAAAGTGCGAAGTCGTGTCTTACCAAACGTACGACTGTCCATTCCTCTAAAGATTTATTGCGTGATTTACAGTCATTAACTCTAGCCAGCACCAGTTCACGTCCCTCTCGCCACATTACTCGCGACTTCATCATTAATGACTCCATTCACCATACATAACCTTAAAGGTTAAATATTTTACTTGTATCTTTCTTTCTATTGATGAGATGTGTAATTTTTTGTCTGAAATGCGAACGTTCTGTTCTCGCAAAAGTCTAAACAAGTACTATTAATTCCATCATTTCCGGCTTACAAGGTATATGCCTATAAGGACGATATTATTGTCCATGCGCCTAGCAGACACTTACATGACGAACGTTTGTGTGCTTTGCTTGAAAGATTTCGTTCTCATAATGTTTCTATAAACCCTGATAAATGTGCCTTTGCTACGAAGAAACTTTCTTGTTTAGGGTATTTGGTTGATGAATCCGGATTCCGTCCTGACCCTAATCGATTTTCTTCGTTGATTAAGGCTCCATCTCCCAAGTCATTCCATGAACTTCGTTCTTTAATTGGTTCTTTACAATACTATTCCAAGTTTATTCCTAACTTTTCAACCCAAGCTGCTCCATTGTTCGATTTACAGTCACAGCAAACATTTCAGTGGACTTCGGTCCATGAACGTGCCTTGAGGAAGTTACTTCCTTTTTATCTACCAATGCTGTTTTACGTCCTTTTTCTCCACGATTACATTCTACCGTCATTACGGACGCATCGCCCGTTGGAATTGGAGCGGAATGGTCATTCGGTGCTGTGCATCTCACGCAGACTAACGGCTGTCGAACGTGGGTATTTCGAAACTATCCCTAATCAGGACCGAGTTAAGTAAAATTGCCCCTATGAAGCAGCACCCGGGAGTTCTGAATGCTGTGAATTTCACTTGTTCGCCTTTTTAACATAAAATCACTCCATATGGTATGCCGAGGTCAAATCCCATTTCTCAACTCAGTCCGATTCTTAATTTCATCACGTATTGTAACCTTCGCTTTAAATGTCGCATAACTCGTGTTTGATACCGTCAATCCCGTCCCAGAGGAGCGTCCTTACGAGACCCTCCGGGACGCTATCTCAACCCGTACCGGTTTATCTACCCTAGAGAAAATCAGGAACGTAGTCCAGGGAACGACTCTGGACCCTCTTAAGCCCTCCCAACTCTTGCGCAACATGCATCAAGAGCTCGCTCCTTTTAAGATTGACGAAAACTTGCCTCGTGAACTTTGGTTTCGNTGGTTTCGGAAGCTGCCTGAAGTCTGCCTGCATGTTCCTGGCACCATGCGTTGGTTGTTTCCTCAGTGTTGCGGCCGAAGTAAGTGAAAAAGCCATGGCTTTCTATTCTAAAGGAGACTCTGTGATGTGTGACATTGACCTCGAAATTCCTTGTACACTTTAAATGCATTGAATATGCATAGTATACGATTCGAATAAAGTTCGTGTGCTATTCTATTCGAAGTTGTTCTATTTCGGAGATTGGTATTGCGCGAATTCTGGAATCTCATTTAGAATACTATTCCAAATACTACATTTAGCATCTCGGCCGGTCTACTGAACAATTAATTCTACTCCACTACAACCTCTTGATTTTAACTACAGTGCATGCGATATCGAGAATCATTTTGAACGTTCTGAGATTTGGTGGCTGACCCGTTCAAAG